AACCACCTACAGTTCAGTAAGCGATTTCAGTATTTATTTCTGACTGTGGCAATTCCTTCAGTTCAGAAGTCACACTTAATTTACAGTGCCTGCTTTAATTCTGACCAAGGTTGCAGTGGCAGCTGGCTTCCCAAGGCTGCAGTACGTGGTGGTGGCACAGCCTCGGGCGTCTGCATTTGTGCCAATGCCACGTTTCCTTTCTCTGTCTCGCAGGTCAGCTGGCGCTAGAAGTGGACGGCATCCAGTGTGAATGAAGGTCAGTGCAGGAGCAGCTGCTGCTGGGAGGAAGGAAGTGCAGGTTGATGGACGCTGATGCTTCTCCTGGTACGGCACCAGAGGAGGCAGCAGTGATGCTGGGGAGCAGTTGCAGAAGAACATGAGGAGCTCCTCAGCAGGAAGCCACAGACCCTGCAGAAAGCTGCAGCAGACTCAGAGCACACGTGGATGCCCAGGAGGAAATGCAGGCCCAGTGTTTGAGCAGCACCTGGCCACGGAGTGCTGTGGCCCAAGAACAAAGCTGTTCTGCCTTTGCCCAGATGGCTTTCCAAGGTGGAATTGTCTGTCCTCATGAAAACCAGAGGGCTGACTCATCCAAATGCTGCCTGATTGCTTGGAAGCCCAAATCCTTCCGGCCTCCAATCTGGGGGCAGCCTGGGTGCAACATCTCCTGGGTCTGGTCATGCGGTGCCTGAGCGAGAGGATGACCCAGGCTGGTTACACAAGAGTCATCTTAATTTCTCTGTTTTGTTACTTCAGATAACGCCATTGGGTGGCCCTCATGTTTTCTTACAATTTGGTACCAGGCCTGGTGACTTTGGGCCAGAGCCCCAAAGGCTGCATCCAGCCCAGGGGCTCACAGCCACAGCCACAGTTAGAGAGGCTGCCACACGCCCTGGGCCTAAAGATGCTGCCAGAGAAGCCGGGAGTGGCCCTGGGGCCTAAACACACAGCCAGAGAGACTGGCACCGGCCAAGGGAGCTGAAGCCACAGCCTGAGCGGCCAGCACCGACCCTGGGTTGAAGCCCAGCCAGAGAGGCTGCACTGGCCCTGGGCCTAAACCTGGAGCCACAACACGAGAAGCTGGCACCAGCTTCGGGCCTGAAGCCACAGCTTGAGAGCCAGCCCTGAAGTCTGAAGCTCCAGCCAGAGAGCCCAGCACCAGCCCTGGGCCATAATGCAGCGGTTACAGCCACAGGGGCAGCGCCAGAGCCAGGGCTGACAGCCACACCTACAGCCGGGTGGGCTGGCACCGGCCGTGGAGCCTAAAGCCAGTCCTGAGAGGCCGGCACCAGGCCTAGGCCTGACGCACAGCCCGAGAGGCCGGCACCAGGCCGAGGGCCCAAAGTCAGAGGCAGAGGCCGGCACCGGCCCTGGGCACAGCTGTGCCTTCCTGTTGCTTTCTGCTGATTCCTATAGGGCTCCACTGACCGCTCTGAGGCCATGCTGGTCCTTACTGGTTTTCACTTGGCCATGCTGCACGTTTCTGGTCCGTACTGCTGTGCACTCCTCCCAGATCCTACTTGTTCCTCTGGGACCCCGCTGACCACTACAAGGCCATACTGCGTTTCTATTGGGCTGCACAAGGGTCATCTTCACTTCTCTGTTGCTTTACTTCAATTAACCCCCATTCAATTAACCCCATTCACCTCATTGGGTGAGTCTCATGTTTCCTAAAATTTGGATCTGGGAGGTGACCACTCCTTTGCCTATGATGAAAGCACAGCGGTGATACAGGCACTTGCTGAGGTCACAGTCGTTGCCGGGCTGGGAGCGTTTGTGCCACAGCTGGGAGCAGAGCTGGTGCTGTAGTGAGCGTGGTGCACACTGAGACTGAGCTCTGTGCTTTTCTCGAGAGAGATCATTCTTTAGAGCCCACTGGGAGCAGCGCTGCGGCGTGTGCATCAGCTGGGCACAGCTCCGGCTGAGCAGGCTGACCAGGTGAGCTGGGGTTGGTGCTGGCTGGGTGCTGGGAGGTATCAGCAGAAAAGCTGGGCTGGGGAGGAGTTCCCAGGTCAAACGGTGCCCTTCTGAATGGCTGTATCCAGGGGAAATGGATTCTTGTTCAGATTCCATCCCACGTTTCTGTGAGGATGATGAAAAGGCATTCCTCCTCTGGAAAATTGCTGCCAGGCTCCCATCTTCATGTCAGACCTTAAAAAGGAAGCAGAGCACAGACTTCATAGGGTGCAACTTGTGCCTCACTGCTCCGTGGGTTGCTTGGTGTGCCATACCCAGCAGGTGCTTCAGCAAACCGCGCTGAAGTCACGGCAGAGAGCCAGGTGCTCAGCTGGGGACATGGGCGGTCAGCAACACCTGTGGGGGAAAAGGGGGCCTGGGGCACTTGCTGACAGAAGCCATGGCAGTCAGACACCAGCTGCAGCTAGGGATGGGCAGGCAGTTCTTGCAGCCATCTGATTTCCAAGCATTGCCTTCCTCAAGAGACGACATTGCATGGCAGAAGAAAGCTGGGAAAATGCTTCTTCGTCATGATTTTTTCACTTATTGGTACTTTCTGTAGGTTCCTCTCCAAAAGGAGAACTCAGGAATCAAGGCAGCTGAAGATTGCAACGCTGCAGGAGATGTCAAGTAAGCATCCGTTTGGAGTGCAGGAAGGGGCAGTGAGAAGTGAACTATCAGTTGTGTTTGGGCTGTCAAAGTAGCATCTTTCTGTTTTCTGGGGGGACATGGGCTTACTGGACAGTACTTCTGCTGCCTGCTGGTGTCTGTGAAATCAACACACGATCTGTTGTTGTAGGGACAAAACCTGTGCATCTGTGGAACGGTGCGGGGCAAGGGGGGAAACGGAAAGCCTCCGCAGGTAAGAAGCTCCTGTGAGCTGTGGTGTGGGCACTGCCTCTAAACAGGGCTGCATGAAGGGCTGCTGTGATGGAGGGGAGAGGAAGGGACTGCAGTTCTGTGCTGACTGCAGAAGTGGCACAAGGCTGCAGCAGCAGAAAGGCAAACTGACAAAACTGCTGCTGAAGACCAGAAGTTTGTGGTTGGCAGTGCTCAAATCTTCCTCTAAAGAGATGCTCTTCATGTCTTTCTTGTCTCCTTTCTGTCAGAAGCTGGTGCCAGTGGCCTTCCTCTGAAGCGCAGCCATGTGGAAAGCCAGGAGTGTGGCACAGCACCCAAGAGAGGTACAGACACACAGTAGGCATCTGGGTTTGGTGCACTGTCTTTCTAGTTAGGCTTTCTGCCTGTTCTTTCCTGGGTCTGTTCTCAATGCGTGTTGCTTGGGGTTTTAATCCCTGGGATTGACAGTTACCTCTCCTTTCCTGATTTATAATGGGAACCCAACATTCACCCAAGATCCCTTGCTGTGAACATAGTATAGGAGAGCTGGCATTGACTCTTTGGGATTTTTTCTTGCTTTTCCCAGCAGTGGCGAGCAGCTCGGATGTGCCGGAGGACATCACGGACATCCAGGGTTTGCTCTCTTGGATCAATGGTGAGTTTGGGGCTGCAGAGCTGCAGGTGCGTGTTTGCACAGGGTGGGTATGAGAAGGCTCTCATCGCCATTTGGGGGATGTTTTTGCATTTTCAGACGTGGCAAGAGCTGCTGAGGTCCCCCATGAGAACCCCAGCAGCTCCGCCCCAGCATGCTTCATTGGTGAGCTCCCTGACAACCCCAGGGACAGCAGAGAGCTCAGCACACAGGCTGCCTCTGAGACGCCAACCGACCCTTTCTGGGGGCTTCCTCCATCCCCCGGGTTCCTGCCTGAGCTGCAGTGCGGGCTGTCGGAGCTGCGCCCTGTCGTGCCACCACCGAGCGCTCGGCTCAGCCCACGGCCGACCACCTTGGCTGTCAGCGCACCTCTCTCAGCCCAAAGAGCACAGCCCATCGAGGAGGTGCAGCAAAGGGAGCCCCAGGTGGGTCAGGCAGAAAAGAAGAACAGGGGCAGCACCAAGCGGGGGGCCAAGCGCCCTGCGCCTGCTGGTACCCCCCCAGAAAGGGGAGAGCTCCCAGCAGGAGCAGCCCAACAGCAGCGCCCCAGCCAAGAGAAGGAAGCTGCCGCTGCAGAGAGATAGAACAGTGAGAAAGGGCCACAAACACCCGTGCCAAGGGAAGCTGTCTGGGGCCAGCGCAGGAGCCAGCGGCAGCGGGCAAGTGGGCACTGCCAGCGAGCTGCATGTGTACCTGTGTGAATCCATCCAGGCCGTGCACCCGCTGGGGCAGAGGGTGACTGTGATGGGGCCGCTGCGCCAGCCACCCTCTCTGCAGCCCCAGCCTACGGCCAGTGCTGGCCCTGCTGCTCCCCAGCCCCAACCTGCCAGCACAGACCGGGTGGCGCCAGCACCTCCAGGCAGCACAGCGCGAGAGGAGGGCACTGCAAAGAAAATGGCGCTGAGCTGCCCGTACCCGCCCTTGCGGAGGAGCTCACCGCTGCAGAGGGACCCACCATCACAGCATCATAAACCACAGCCTCAGCCACAGCGCCCCATGGAATTTGTGCCCTGCATGGGACCCCGGGCAAGTGGCGGTGCGGCACCCACAGCACTGGAGGAGTCACTGCCCATCACAGCTGAGCAGCGGCCCGAGCGGGAGCACATGAAGAAGCTGGCCCAGGAGGAGCGGCAGCAGGCAGCCCGGCTGATGAAGATCGGCCCGGTGCAGTTCCTGGTGCAGCGGGAGATAGACATGGCCATAGCTGACCACTACGGCTACCCGTAACCCTGCGCTCCTTGCCGGCCCTGCAGCACCAGGCAGCAGCAGCAGTGTTCCAGGGGCACCACCAGCGGCCCCATCCCTCCCCTCCAGAACTGAGCCGTCCTCCAGAGTCAGCATTGCAGTGGGATGGGACGTTGTCTGGGCGCTCAGCTATGGTGGGACAGGAATTGTAGGATTACTGTTGGTTCTCTTTATCATTGTGTTCTCGGATAGGTTATTAAAAGCTTTGCATTCCCTTTGCTACGTCCCTCTGCCTGCAGTCATTTGTGCCGTGTCACAGCCCCCCAGCTCCCCACGGCCGCCTCCAGGGCAGGATAGGGCACCACGGATGGCCCATGCCACCAGCAGCCCCAGCCCTCCTCTCTCCCTGCAGTCCTTTGTGCGGCGGGATGCTGAGGGCGTTTCACAGAGCTCTCCTGCGCTGCCCAGTGCCGTGAATTGCCGTGGGGATGGGCAGCAAGCAGGGCGGATGGAGGGGAATCGCAATCGCATCAGTCACCGCGGCCAGAAGAGACTCCAGCAGCTGCAGCAGGGGCAGTTCCCACGGAGGGGGGAAGCAGGGGCGGCTGGGCCTGCCATGCAGACGGACAGACAGGCATCAGATGCCTCCCACGTCACGGCTCTTCTGCCCCCATACCGTTTGGCTCCTGGCAGTTTTGTCTTCACACAGGGACCCGGCGAACTCTGTACACCCAGAGCAGGATTTTCCAGGGGGCGGCCGCTCACGAGTGCTGCCCCCCAGGGCTCGGTATTGGGGCCGCTCCTATTGAACACTGTTATCAGTGATCTTGAGCAGGGCGCTGAGGGTGCCCTCGGCACGTTTACAGATGGCACTGAGTTCAGAGGCAGCGCTGATCTGCCAACCTGAGCAGTTCCATAATTCTGTGGTTCTACGATGCCACATCCATTCCAAGTCCATCCCATACCAGAGCCCATCCCATATAGATCCCATTTCCTGATATCCCATCCCGCATCCATCCCATATCCATATCCCCGCACCCCACATCCCAACCCCACATCCAACATCCCAGCCCCAATCCAAATCTCATTCCCAATCCCTCACCCCAAGCCCATCTCACACCCGTCAATCCCAATTCCTCCTCCCAAATCCCGATCCCGATCCCACATCCCATCCCCCATAGCAATAGGGAACACTCCGAGCCCCTCCCCCACAACAGTTCAGCCCCGCCCCCGGAATCTCGTTAGTCAGGGCCAGTTCCGCCCCTTTAGTGCCTCTCATTGGTCAGCGGCAGCCCCGTCCCGCCCCCGGACTCTCATTAGTCAGGGGAAGTTCCGGCCCGTTCGTCCCTCTGATTGGTCAGCAGCACCGCCGCCAGCTCCGATTGGCTGAGGCGCAGCGCGCGGGAACGGCCGTTGGCAGCCGGCTCTCCCCTCAGACGGTGCCGGTCCCACAGCCGCTGCGCGCCGGAGCTGTCCGGGCAGCACCGAGACGGAACCGCGGCACGGCGGGAGCGGTGCTGAGGACAGCGGCGCCAGAGCCGGGAGGGACGGAGAGCGGCACCGGGACAGGGAAGGAAGCCTGCGCAGCCATCCGCCACCTTCGTGTGGGGTGAGGGGCTGGGAGCAGGGCTGGGATGTGGGGATGTGGATGGAGACAGGATGGGGTGTGGGGAAGTGGGATATATATGGGACGGGCTGTGGATGTGGGATCGGTATGGGGCTCCGGGGAGCTCTGGGAGAGATACAGGGGGCTGACGGGGAAATCGAGGGGGTGAGGAAGCTGTGGGGAGCTGGGGAGGGCTGCGGGGGGGCAGGGGGCTGCAGAAGGCTGTTGGGGTGCAGGGAGGCACACGGGGCTGGAGTGGGCTGTGGTAGAGGATTGGGGTAAACGGGGCTCCAGGGGTGGGTCTGGGGGATTTGGGGCAATAGAGGGCTGTGAGGAGATTAGGGGAGACACGGTGCTATAGGGAGCATTGGAGGGGGTTTGTGGAGGGACTCCAGGGGCTGGGGAGAGCGATGGGGAGGGATATAGAAGGCTAAGGGAGGATATGAGAGAATGCGATTGTACAGATGTCTGTAGGGGGCAAATAGGTGGGCTAGAAGGGGATAAAAACCTCAGATTTAATGGGGAAAAAAGGCATTTCAGGTAAAAAACCCCAGATTTAAGAGGAATAACCCCACATTTAAGGGCAAAAAAAGGAATTTCTAGCAGGAAACCATCGATATAATGGGATAATCAGGGATTTCTAGCAGAAAAAAACCATATTTAAGGGGAAAAACCCCAGATTTCAGGGGAAAATCAGGGATTTCTGGGAGAAAACCTCAGATTTAAGGGGAAAAACAGGGATTTCTAGCAGAAAAACCGAATATTTAAGGGGAAAAACCCCAGATTTAAGATGAAGAACAGGGATTTCTAAGAGAAAACCCCAGTTTTAACGGGAAAAACCCGAGATCTAATGGGAAAAACAGGGATTTCTTGGAGAAAACCCCAGATTTAAGGGGACAAAAAGGGATTTCAAGCAGAAAAATCCATATTTAAGGCTAGAAACAAGGATTACTGGGAGAAAACACCCGATTTAAGGGGAAAAAAAAACAGATTTAAATGGAAAAACGGATGTCGAGCAGAAAAAGCCATATTACAGGGGAAAAGCCCCAGATTTAAGGGGAATAGAGGGATTTCTCTGGGAAATCCCAACATTTAATTGAAAAACAGGGATTTCTAGCAGAAAAAGCCATATTTAAGTGGAAAAACACAAGATTTAAGGGTAAAAGAGGGATTTCTAGCAGAAAAAGCCATATTTAAGTTGAAAAACCCCAGATTTAATGGGAAAAAACATGGATATCTAGCAGGATAAAGCCACATTTAAGTTGAAAATCATGGATTTCTGGGAGAAAACACCAGATTTAAGAAGAAAATTTCCAGATTTAGTGGGAAAAACAGGGATTTCTAGCAGAAAAGGCCATACTTAAGGGCAAAAACCCCAGATTTAAGGGGAAAAACAGGGATTTCTGGTAGAAAATGCCATATTTCTGGGAAAAAAAAAACCAGATTTAAGGGAAAGACAGGGATTTCTGGGAGAAAAAAAACAGTATTTCAGGAGAAATATACCAGATTTAAGGGGAAAAAAAACCCAGATTTAATGGGAAAAATAGGGATTTCTTGCAGAAAAAGACATATTTAAGGGAAAAACCCGAGATTTAAGGGGAAAAACAGGGATTTCTTGGAGAAAACCCTAGTTTTAATGGGAAAAAAAAACAGATTTGAGGGGAAAAACAGGGATTTCCAGCAGAAAAAGCCACATTTAAGGGGAAAAAAACCCAGATTTAAGGGAAAACAGGGATTTCTGGGAGAAAAAAAACAGTATTTCAGGAGAAATATACCAGATTTAAGGGGAAAAACAGGGATTTCCAGCAGAAAAAGTCATATTTAAGTTGAAAAACGGATTTCTAGTAGAAAAGGCCATATTTAAGTGGAAAAAGCCCAGATTTAAGGGAAAAATGGGGATTTCAAGTAGAAAACGCCATATTTAAGTTGAAAAAACCCCAGATCTAATGGGAAAAACATGGATATCTAGCAGGATAAAGCCATATTTAAGTTGAAAATCATGGATTTCTGGGAGAAAACACC